GGAAGTTCAATGAATAATTTAGGTAATATTATTATATTTCATATTTAATTAGTAGTCATGAGATTTAAAATCAAATAAAGGCAAACATTTTTATTAAAATTTAATAATAATAATAATTTGATAAAGGGCCATCACATTACCTTTTTAGGTTTGAATGCATGCACAGTGCTAAAAAATTTGAATTGGGTTGCCGCAAATAGCAGAACACTGCCACCAGCAAATCCAATACACAATTTTTCAAAAATTTTAAATGATTTATATCGTTCAAAAGTAACAATTGTTCTTTTAAATTTATTATAATTGGATACGTTCACGTATATATTGGTCGTCAATCTACGTATTGCCGCCATGATGAAACTGACGTCACATGTTCCGTAACGTAAAATGAAGCATGACTCTTACGTAAGATTTTTATAGGAGTAACATATTTTAATAAAAAAAACCGCCACAAGAAAATGGCGTTACCTGTAACTATGTGACAAAATGTCGTATCCGCTTGTAACGGATTGAAATTCTAGATCTTTCTAGAACTTCAATTTTTTTTTTTTTTAAGTATCATTAATTGATTTTACTTATTTTAAATTGTTTTTACTCATGGATTTTGTTTTACTCATCACAAGTTACTCAAAAAGAAGAAGAAGGTATTATATAAAGGAATAAGAAAATGGAATGCTTGCATAAAGGTTTCCTTTTTAAATGAAAAATTTATTTCATATTTTTTTTTTTACTTTCAGGATTAATCGTGATTTATAACATTTGGTTTATTAAGAGATAAAAATTAAAATGTTCACACTATTAACTTATTCTCACATTAACCTCGATAAATCAACTATTTATAAGTTACTGTGAAAATATCAAATGTCAAACTGTTATCTTTTATATAGAAAAAGGTATGATAATTTTTTTTCTTTCTTTTTGGGGGGACAAATTAGATTTTTTCATTTTTGATAATTCTTAAACGTTATAAAGAAAAACAAATGTGCAAATGACCATGACAATGATTAACAATCAAACAATTCAAGTAAAGAAAAATTTAATTTAATTTTCAAGTTGGTTATTTACATGTCATAACAAGTCATGCAAACCAGACAAGTTCATGTGAGACAGGTTTACTTTTTTTTTTTTTTTTTTTTTTGCACACCTTGGTGATCCTGTTTTTAGTTTGTACATGAATGAAGTCACGTAGTACGTTAGTTGGAAATTTTTGCAATAGGAAAAAAAAAAAATTGCAACAATAACCTTTGATTTTATAACAGACAAACAAACAAACAAGTTTTCTTTCTAAATGATGAGTGCCCAACAATCAAATAAATGAATTGAATTGATTGTTAATTGAAATTTAAGGTTTTATTAGGTTTTAAGTTGATAAATATTAATACCTAGGTATATTATTAATACCTAACAATGTAAAATTTAATGAAAAAGAAACATGGCTGTGAATAGTATAAAATCATGTAATGCAAATCATATTTTGACTTGATTATAATTTAAAAAACTGGGTAATTTTAATAAAAAAATTTTTTTTAAAAGTTTAATTATCTACAGTCATGTAATTATTATTATTAATGTTTTACAAAATGATATAATAAGGTATGATGAAACTTCTAGAAGATTTTAACACACACACACAAAATACTCTTGTGAATTTTTTTTTCAAAATTTATCAACCTAATGTTTTTCAAAGCTAAATTTAAAAACAAGAAAATTTCTCATTAAATAACTTTACTATATAATTAAAAAGATAATAATAATAATAATCAATATGATAATTATAAAAACATTTAAAATAATTTGTTGTATGTATTTATGTAATATTAAAAAAAAAAATTTTATATATAGTGCATACCAAGTTTTATTATATCAATGTCATGATTAAGTTAATAATTTATCATTATTATCATTGTTTTTGTGGTTGTTGTTAGATGAAAAGACAATAATATATTCAGGTACAATAGTTAATAGAGATAAGATTTGTATTAATTAATACAAAATTGCTGAGAGGGAAAACATTAACTAGGACATCATGAGTTGTTACAAGAATTGAGAGTTAAAAATTTTTTTTATAAATTATTAGAATGTAATTAGAAAATTTATATTGATCTCCCTCTGGCAAATAATTGGAGATTGATATTATTGATATTGATATAAGAAACAAGTTTTTATAATTATTTCATTATTTGATTGAATGGAAAAGGATATACTCTTGTTTGTGATTGTGGTTGTGGTTGTGATTGTGGTGGTGATGGTGGTTGTGATGGTGGTGATTGTGGTGGTGGTGGTTGAGATTGTGGTGGTGATGGTGATTGTGGTGGTTGAGATTGTGGTGGTGGTTGTGATTGTGGGGGGGTGGTGATTGTGGTGGTGGTGGTGGTGGTGGTGATTGTGGTGGTTGTGATTGTGGTGGTTGAGATTGGTGGTGATTGTGGTGATTGTGGTGGTGGTGGTGATTGTGGTGGTTGTGATTGTGGGGGGGTGGTGTTGATTGTGGTGGTTGAGATGGTGATGGTGGTTGAGATTGTGGTGGTGGTGGTGGTGTTGATTGTGGTGGTGATGGTGGTTGAGGTTGTGGTGGTGGTGGTGATGGTGGTTGAGGTTGTGATGGGGGTGATAACAATACATAAATACCAAAACATGTAAAATAAACGTTTCGATATATACATATATAAACGGTCGTATAAAAAAAAGTTTAAAAAACCAATTTTTTAAATATCGTCAATAATAATAAAATTTATTATAATTAAAAAAAATTATTAATAATAATAATAATTTTGCAATACATGTGATAAAATTATACATTGCTAAGTACATATTATTATAACTAATATACATATCGCAATCGGAATACATAATATATATATATATATATACATACAAATATTTTATGATTTTTATTTTTATTTTTTATTTATTTTTTTCTTTTAATAATAATTATTATTATCATTGTTATTTGCTCTTTCGCGTCAGTACGATATATATATATATATTTACTCACGTGACAAAAAGCGAGCATATATTATTTATTAAATAGGTTTATGTATATATATATATATGTTATAATTGATCATGTGAAGCCTTTTGTATATAATCGGTCAATAGGGTAACTCAATTTGTTTATATATATATATTTATATTTATTTATTTATTTAAAAAATGAATTCTTGGTAACTGTCGGTAATTTATTATGTAAATATTATTATCATTTTATGATTTCATTATTGTATTTGGCACTAACCGGAAATGAAAAAAAAAAAAAGAAAGAAACTTAAAAAAGAATTTTTTTTTTGGGTTCATTCATCGAAAATTATTTAAGGGTGGGTCGGGGTGGGGGGTGTGTGGATTATAGCGTTTGTTTGTAGTAGTACATGATTTAGAGATTACGATGATGATGATGATGATGGTGATAACGAATGATAAAACAAAATAAAAAAATAAAAATCATCATTTTTTTTTTTACAAATACTAATAATAAATAAAAAATAAAGAGAGTTTTGATAGACGACAAATAATAATAATAATAATAATTTTTTTTTTTTGAGTATTTTTTAATATTATTACAAAAACAAAAAAAATTTATTTATTTATTTAAAAGCGGGGTTGTTGTGTGATTTCTATTTTTTTTTTTTTTTTTGATTCTTCTTCTTCCACGTCAGAAACAAAAAAACAATGGCGATGACAATAATGATTTTATTATTATCGAATATTTTTTATTATTATTATTATTTTCCCTCCCATTTTTTAATAAAAAAAAAAAAAAAAAAAACGTTTTCCCCTTTTTACAATATGTTTAAGGTAATAATAATAATAATAATAATAATAATAATAATAATAATAATAATAATAATAATAGTAATATGGCGGATTTTTATTTATTTATTAATTAATTTTACAATTGATAAAATTTAATAATACGTTATTCCTTCGCGGAGGACTAGATTCGTATTTTTTTTTTTTTTTTTTTTTTTAAATTTATCAGGGAGAAAGTGGGGGGGAGAGAGAGAGGGATTTAAAAAAAGAAAAAGAAAGAAATACGCAATGATAAAGTAAAAGTTGAATTTTTTTTTTTTATTGAAAAAAAAAAAAAAAAAACGTGGAAGGACTTTTTTCGGTCAGTCGTAGCCCATTCACGTTATAATTTTTTTTTTTTTTTTTTGCTTTAATTTTATTATATATAAATATATTATAATAGTAGTTCGAAGCAGATATATATATATATATATATATATATATATATATATATATATATATATTTATAACTTTGGCGGTTAACCGTTACAAAACAAAAACAAAAAACATTCTTTTAATGTCAATAGTTCAAAGACCATATTAAAAGAATGTATTGTTATGATATATTCGATTAATAAATAAATTTTCATAAAAATTTGTCGTTTTTTAATTTTTAATCGATATATCGATCGATCGATCGATCAATCGATCAATCAGTAAATCAATAAAACAATCAATCAAAATGAAATGAAATGAACGAAAAAAAAAAAAAAAAATTCAGTCTTTTGCTACAATATATATATTTTTTTTGTCAAAGATAGAATGACGTCATAACAAATTACGTCATTAAAAAAAAAAATTAAATAAACAATTTGACCTATCGTACCTGTTAAAAAAATTAATTTACCTATTTAAAAAAAAAAAAATTGGGTCTAAAGAAACACTCGATTAACTTTTTATTTACTCTATGACTTTTTTTCTTTTTTATTTTCAGGTATCATCATCAATCACGTTACGTTTGAATTAATATGTTAAAAAAAAAAAAGTAAATATTGAGGAGATTATATATATATATGTGAAGAGATGTTGAAATCAAAAAGAAGAATTATTTGTCTCGTAGTTAATGAGTGTGACCGTTAGAAAAGAAAAGAACAACGACAACAACAAAAACAACAATTCTATTCAAGATATGATGATGATGATGATGATGTGTATACTGATACTATAAGGAAGCTAATAATATTTGGTGAGTAAAAAAGCGAAAACGTTTGCAATTGTCAGTAACGGTTAAACGTGGCAGAAGAAGATGAGGATGAGGATGGGGATGAGGGTGATTGCGTTACCCAATCGTAACCGATTTCTGATGATGATTCGTCATCAATTTCGGTTAATTTTTCCGTTTGATTTTCTTCATATTCTTCTTCTTCGTACTCGTCTAATAATGATGATTTTTCAGTCTGGGGAAAATTTTCAATCGGTGACACGTGATAATTGTCGTTATTTCGTTTTATATTTTCCGTTAAAATTTCTTTCCAAAGTAACGACGTCGTAGAGGAAAAATCCTCACCGGAAGTAGAAAACGAAGACGAAGGCGAAGACGATTTTTTCCTTTCTTTTAAATTATTTCCTTTCGAGTTTCCTTTTTTTTTATTACAATTTATTATTTCACTATTGCATTTGATTTTTAATAACGTTTTATCACTAATTTTTTTCTTTTCCCCTTTCACTCTTTTCTTTTTCCTTTTCTCTTTATCGTCCGTACATTTTCCCGCTTGCGTACATTTTTCCGCGTCCGTATCACTTCCGTTTCGCGATTTTCTCTTTTGTCTCACACCGTGTAATCTTTTCTGACAATCTTCGTCGTCTTCGTCGTCGTCGCATTTTGTTATCGTTGTCGTCGTAATCGATCCCTTCTTCTTCGTCGCCGTTGGTAAACATTCATCGTCGTCGTCGTCGTCGTTGTCGTTCTTGCACTTGTTTCTCTTCTTTTTTCTCTTTTCTTTTTTCCTGCACCTGAATTTGTTTTTGTCATCCAATTTCGTCATGGGCACGTTCGGACAAAATTGATAACGATGATGTCTGACGAGGTGATTTCTTTCCCCGAATCCTTCTTCGCCGCTCGTACCTTGCAATAATTTTCCTAAGAGAACTCGAGCTTTCGCAACTTTGACGGCCAACGATTCGACCCTTTCGATCGATACGGGTTTCGTAAGAACGTTCGTGTATGTTTCCATTTTACCAAGGGATGCTTTCGCTTTTGTCTGAACTTTTCTAGGGATTCCTTTCTTATTCAGAGCCAGGTACAATGTTCGTTTATCGTTTGAATATTTAGCCGATGAATACGTGTTGAAATGATGACTTTCCATCATTTCGTTAAATATGCAGTCGTCGGTGAATTCTTTCTGAAAACAAAAAACAAAAAAAAAAAACGGATGTTTAAATTATTAACGTTTAATTTCGCCGGGGTAAAAAAAAATTTTTTTATTTCCCACAAACTACTACGACTACTACATTCATTCACATGCCAGTTTTTAATGTGGTAAAAAAAAAAATGTCGCGATCAAAATACATTTAAAGAACAAAACCGATAGTGCATTGCCCTTATCAATAATAAAAACAAAACATTTTATAAAGGAAACAAACGACTTTGCATTAATCAAAACAATCACAAAAACTATTCATACTTTCACGAACATTCACGTTTCTTTAATTCAGGTTAAAAAAAAAAAAAAAATTCTCGGTTTAATTATTATTATCATCATTATCATTATCATTATTATTATTATTATTATTATTATTATTATTATTATCGACTTGATTCAACTATGTGCACTCATGATGCAATAGATACAAATATTTTGACGATAATTAAAAATAAATTGATGCAAATTAAAATCGTCGAAACGCAGAGAGAGAGAGAAAGAGAGGAAACTAAAAGAGAGCCTGTGGAAAAAGAGTGAGTGAGAGAGAGAGAGAGAACTTTGGTTTGAACCTAAAACGTCGGCTCATGATGTATAATTTTTTTTTTTTTTTAAAGCTCGAAATAATGAATGTTGAGATGATGAACGAGAGAGTCAGTAGTTTGAACTCGATAATAATAATAATAATAATAAAAATAATGTAAAAATTCGAACGGTGGTGTTATGGGCACGTTGCAATGACTCGCAAAATAAATGATGCATACCTACTCTCTCTCTCTCTCTCTGCCTGTCTCTCTCTCCCTCTCTCTCTCTCTCTGCCTGTCTCTCTCTCTCTCTCTGCCTGTCTCTCTCTCTCTCTCTCTGCCTGTCTCTCTCTCATTTGTATCGGTTTCGTAACTTTTTTATCATTATCTAAAATGGTCGCGATTCAACGGTTTCGTTTCCTTTGACACAAAGACTTTACGTTTCCGCCGACGACGTGTCAATATCCGGTTTTTGAGTTTTTACACGAACGAAATCCTTCTGTTTGTTCTTTTTTTTAAAAACAGAAATCATCTTTGTACGATTTGCAACGAAGATTGTCGGTTGTATGCGTAACAATGACAAAGAGAAAAAATAACAACAAACAACAAACAGAAAACAATCGAAAACGTATTTTTCTTTTTTTTTTTTTTTTTTAATATTCTCGTAATTGATGCGTTTAAACGTGACGTATGCACGTTCTAAAAAAAAAAAAAAATTTTAAATTAAATATAATAATAATAATGATAATGATAATAATGATAATAATAATAAAACTTCAAAGTATAAAATTTACTGCGACATTTTTTTTTTTTTTTTAAAGTTTTAAGTGTCTCGCAAAGATATAATAAGAAAAAAAATTTTTTTTTTTTTTTTTTTTTGTTGTGTTGGTGGTCCTTTGATATTAGACATGGTTCCCATGGTTAAACTCAGCAGGCACTCATTTTGTTAATTGCTTAATTTTTTAGCTTAATGTTTTTTTTTTAACCACAAAACTTTTTTTTTTCGGTTATTTTCTATTGACAACCCATTATTAAATAAATTATTAATCGTCCGACAATTAATTATGAAACGTTTTTAGTTTTTACAAGTCGTTTAAACAATTAAACATTTATAAATCATCATCATCATCATCATTATTAAAAAAAAGGAAAAAAAATAACGTGGAATTAACAGGTTAAACTTTCTCTTTAAAAAATTACACGGTTGGTTTAACAAACATTATTAAAAATCGTTATTTTTTTTTTTTTTATTTTTTATTCTCCTCCATTACACATCATTAAATTAAAAATTTGACAGTAAAAATTAACGTGGAAGCAGAAAGTTTGTGATTTGCAGTCGGTGGCAGTTAACACGTTTAAGAGAAAAATAAAATAAAAAATAAGAAAAAAAATTTTATTTTATTTTTATTATTTTTATTTTATTTTATTTTTATTTTTTTGTAGAAAATATCACGGTGGCAGTAGAAGTAATACGACCTCCCAAAAAACACAATCATAATTTAACGAAAAAAAAAAAATTATTGCGTAACAACAACAACAACAACAACAACCACGACGACGATGATGATGATGATGATGACGACGACGACGACGCTGTTATAAAATTTATTTTAAAAGGTAATTTGTTTAATAAATGTTTTCTCTCTCTCTCTCTCTCTCTCTCTCTCTCTCTCTCTCTCTCCCTATTTTTCTCTGTCTCTCGTGTTATGTGAGATTTCGTGTCGTGTCACTACTACCGGAAATTCAGGAGGGGAAAAAAAAAAAAAGTTACCGCCACGATTTTTAAAACGGTGTTAAAAAACGAATTTAAATAGGTTTTAATTATTAAAAAAAAATGGTACGTGATAAAAATAATCGTGGAATTAAGTAAAAAAACGTTTTTTTTTTTTTCCCCCCGACGAAATATTATTAAAGATAATGACGGAAGACATTTTTTTTTTTTAAAATAATAATAATAATTAATCATTTTCAAATTTTATTTCACTTATTACAAACGACATTTAATGAAAAAAATTAAAATTTAATTGAATTATTTAATTATTCAATTAACATTTTTCTTTTTTCTTATTTCGTTTCTATGTTTATAATATCATCGGCACGTGTAATTTTCAATGTGACCAACATAATAAAAATAAATTCATTTTTTTCTCTCTCTCTCTCTCTCTCTCTCCTCCCCCTCTCTCACACTTTATTCTTATTTAAAATCGATTTCGATTGAAAATGTGTTATTTGTGTATTTTTGAAAT